CATATATATATGTATATATAAATGAAACCGGAACGGCACTTTTGCGCCTATGCTTTTGTTAAATTTAAACATTTAAAGATAACGCCAGCTATAGAAGCGCGTCGTCGCCAGATGATAGACGTTGCGCTAACGGAAATCGCCGATGTGATTCATGAGAATTCAAATCGCGCTCAGCGTTGACTAAATAATACTATTAAATATAAATAAAAACGACGAAAAACAAGAAGTCACAAATGCCACTGCATGCAGAAGAAGTATTCACTTCATAAGAAGATATCACTGACCTTTCCTGTGGCTTTCTTGTATCGAAGGATGGCCTCTCGGATAAGGTCTTTGACAAGAATGTTGCCGTCTCCACAAGGCACAACTACCCTCACACTGCCGAAACAAACCGTCACTTTCATGTCAAATAAACAAAGTTACTACTAAGAGAAGTTGGAGTTAAAATTCTTTGGCGATGCATTTAAAAGACGCCATGCCACACCGACGACCACCAGGTGAACACTCTCTGTTTACTACGACACCTGCCGATATGAAAACGGTTTGCATCGTCCGTTGCCGAGCCAACTGACTACAACATTGTTGAGGCGCGGCCGGTTTAAATAATCGAATCACCAAGTTCGTGAGTACAGTGTCCAAAAGGTCCGAAAATCGGCACTCACAATATTTAAAAATTTGAAAAACAGAGGAAACGTGTGTTCCAACGCTCGCATGCGTTCGTTCATTACTACAGCTAAAAATTTCAAACGAGTTTGGGCCCCCTCCTTGACACCTGGGGCAACCAACCAATAGAAACGGAACGCCAGGTATGTCGCATGCCTGCGCGAAGCCAAACACGCGAAACACTTCAGGAATGTCCGACTTGTAGGACTGGATTATGGACAGGTAAAAGGCATCTCGTGGAAGCTGAGGTAGAATTATTGTTTTGAATAGAGCGGGAGAAGAAGTGCTACCGGCTGTAGCCGATGCAGCTTCGTCAGAAACTCTACCACGAATAAGCAAGACTATAAACTACTATTGTTAATACCTTTCATATACTGCCAATGCGGTGAATGAGTAATACTTCCTCCTTCTGACGGTGTTTCTGTTGGCCTTAGCGAAAAAATGGTATAAACTTCATTTTATTGATGTAAAACATGAGTAGATGAAGATATATATCACAAGAGAATCAGTTCTGTGAAAGTAAACTAAAAAAACCCTAAAAACCGAAATTCCACATAGAAAAGTTCAAATAACTAAAACGCGTTTCGACATCCAGGGTGTCTTCCTCAGTTAGAGGATTTCAAAACTCATTTTAGGTTTCTAAACGTTTTTACATGGGATTTCAGAGTTTTACTTGCGATTTCACTCACATGAAACTATTTCACTTCATAATAAATATTTAAATAGTTACAGTCAATATATAATTTTAAAAAACTGCCTAAATCACTCCTTACAATTTGTCTAAAAAATCGGTTTAGCTGTTTCAAAGTCTAGCCTGTACAGACCAACAAAAACTTTTTTAAGGTCGTTTGTGTCTTAATAGCGTTAAAATAGTTATGAGCTTTAAAAAGGGGTTATTTCGATTTTACAGACGAAAACTTCAATTTTATTTGTAGATGCAGACATGCATAAATATATATAAAT